GTACAGAAATTAATGACTTATATTTAGGAATTTTCGTAAGGTCAAGAATGCATCAAAAATCAATAAATATTAATTTGATGAATGAATGAACACAAGGCATAAATTACAAAAATGGATTCTCTTTACTTTCACAAAGAAATAATGATTGCATAGAGAGAAACCATGAAATAAATGTATCATTCTTCCAGCCTCTGGACAAATTAAAATGTCTCACATGCCATCCTTATGACTGCGCCCTGCAGAGTATCCGAAACTCTCACTACACACTTGAAAACATTTCTTAAATAAATCTGATGGTTTTTTTCCTCTGCTTATTACATTAGATTTTGTTACTTCTGCCAATTATGTCCCTAACCTCATAACACACATTACTCACTCAAGATAAACAATACATCCTAGTGAACTTGGAAACATATTTTCCCTAAAAACAATTTACATGGTAATCATTACCTTTACTGAAAATGATGGGAATTGGGGAGAGATCCGTTCCAAAATCAACAACCAGAAGAAACAGTTTATATTTTCTATTACAGACAATTATAGTCAGCATCAAGTACAGGCTATTCAAATAAATAAACTCCCTAAGATTAAATATTTCTAAGGTCAATGGAAGCATTCCTTGCATTAATGCTTCCCTGAATTACCGTAATGTCCAGGCTTTTCAGTTACATCACTGTTAAAATAGAATTAAATAAAAATATATTTTTTCTCCAGGATCTTTCTCAAAGCTTCTTTGACATCTTTGTTCCTAAGAGAGCAAATCAAAGAATTCAACATAGGAGTGACCAGGAAGTAGCATAAGGAGGCCACTTTATTCAGCTCAGGAAGCCTGTCAGGAGTGAGATACATAAAAAAGTCAGCACCGTACAGCACACTCACGACTCCCAGGTGAGAGCTGCAAGTGGAAAAGGCTTTCTTACGTCCCTCAGTGGAGCATATCTTTAGAACTGTGGACACAATATACATATAAGAAACAATAGTGACTATGACGGTAGGCAAGATAATGATGCTGGATAATAAAAAAGATACCATTTTGTGGATAAAGAGGTCAGAACAAGATAGTCTCTGAAGTGGGCGAGAATCACAGTAAAAGTGGTCAACAACCCGAGAAGCACAAAAGGATAAAGTAAATGTCATGCTGGTCTGAAGAACTGAGCTGATGCAGCCACAAAAATAGGAACCAGCCACCAACTGAGTGCAGAGACGTGTTGACATCTGAACAGAGTAGAGGAGTGGGTTGCAGATGGCAATGAAGCGGTCATAAGCCATGGCTGCCAGGAGAAATCCCTCAGTCACAATGAAGAGGGCGAAGAGAAAGAGCTGGGCCACACAGCCTGCAAGGGAGATGGACTTGCTCTCAGACCAGAAGTTGATCATAGCTTTGGGTGCAATAACAGACGAATAGAAGAGATCAATGAAGGAAAGATTGCCTAGGAAGAAATACATTGGTGTGTTCAGCCGAGGATCAGTTATAATAATGGACATCATCCCAACATTCCCTAGAAGGATCATGGCATATACAAGCAGAAATAGCAGAAAGAGGAGAATGTGGATCTCTGGGTGGACCCTGAAGCCTACAAGAATGAAGTCAGTCGTTGCTGAATGATTGCTTGGCACTGAGGGTTGAGATCCCGTTGCCGGTCCCAGTCTGGTACGGGCGCGACACTGAGGGTTGTGATCCATTGCCGGACATGAAAAAAGACAAAAAGTAAAAAAAAAAATAGGAACCAGCCACCAACTGAGGGCAGAAATGTGCAATTAAATATAAAATGCCTTTTTATAATTTAGAAATCTTTGTGAACCTTGGAACTATTAACATTATAGTAGAGGGTTCCAAATATATAAGCAAAAAATGTATTAAAACAACAGCAAAGTCTAGATTGTGTACTGTTTTAATAATGTTATATTATTTGTCAAAATTTGTATAGTGTCATGTTAAGAAATAATAGAGTAAACTGATAATAAGCGAAAAATTTAAAAGCAGTGGATCCATAAATATTTGAAGAATCTTAAATTAAAAAATGTTAGTTATGTTTTATTCAATGATTCAGAAACTTGCTAGCCTCCTTATCTGTGGTCATTCCATTAAAACGCAGTATTTGCTTTTAAATAAAGCATTTGTAACCTGCTGTCTTCTCAGTGAATATCATTACAGAACAATGTTCTGTTTTTACTAAGATATTTTACATGTTTTAACATGTCATCTACACAGGACAAATTAAACTTATTGTCTTATTAGTAAAGAAGCTGATGCAGCAAAAACAGCCAGAATTTTGTGAAGCCACAGAACACGATTATGGAAAGCCTTGAAAATTTTTATGTAAAATTCTTTCTTTCCCAAAATGTTATTTGTAGAACCTTTGTATATTCCAGAGTAATGGTCAGCAAGCTATATAATCTATGAGCCCGATTCAGTTTTACTCATTTGTTTCCCTATTTTCTGTGTCTGCTTTTGCACTACAATGGCAGCTTTGAGGAGGTATGAAGAGAGGGTAGTTCTTTCTCTTTCAAGATGCTTCTTGGGGTGTTTTTGTTTTTGGTTCTAGCACCTGGTGGGTAAATCCTACCATGGCTCTCACTCTTGAAGAAACTCCCAGGCTTCTGGTATCTTTTAATACCATCTTTTCCTGTGCTTTGAAATTATAGATGGTGATATGACTGTCTGTCTTGCTAGTGTCTGTGTTACTTCAATATCCCTTCCCACCTCCCGCCCCCCAGCACTTCTATTGACTGTTAGTTTATTCTCTGCATTAATTTTCTTCTGATTGATACCAGCATGATGCTTTTACAATAGAGATAAGAAATGAGTTTATGGGTTATAACCCATGCAAATAAAAAGTAGCAAATATATCTCTGTATAAATCATGAAGATAAAAGAAGAATCAAGTACTACTCATTCAAATCTGTTTGTTTTATTATTTAGTTCCGTAAGTAGAAGATTAGTTCACATGTCCTCTGGAGAGACTTTTAACGTTCCATTTCCATAGGTCTGATACGTTTACTAGTTAATAATTTCTTCTCTCATTTTTCTTTTTGCCTTATGACACAATATATTTTACTGGTAAGAGAGGCCTTCTGTCCCCAACGAACATCTTGCAGAGGGATTACCCACCACTTTGGTTTCCCTCCCCATGAGAGAATTTCTCTCAGGATCCATCCCAGGTCTATTTATTAGTTTAGTCAATGAAAAAGTACAGTAAACTACAAAATTAATAGTAAGGTAAGAGATAAGCTACAATTTTTACTTGTGCTTGTTCATTTTAGCAAATTTGAGTCATAATCTGAACAGTGAGAAAATGCAATCTGTGTTGCAGAAAAACTTCCTGTTAAACACAGGTATGTTTGTCTTAATGTTTTTGTTTTCTCATGAATATACTTGATTTTACATATAGTGTTTACTGAGATAAGAAGTAGTATTCATTCTTGAGGATACCTCATATTTAATTTGTTTACTCCCATATCCCTTTCTTTAGATAGCTTTAGTTACATTTCTTTCTTTTTTAAAAATATTTCTATTGAAAGCAAGAACTTGTTTACGGACAACATGAATTAAGGAAAACATGCAGTTTTATAGTTCATAGACCCAGCCAGAAGTTATTTTGACCATTTCTCTGCCTTCTAAAATTAATCACATAATATTACTGTTAAGTTTTAATTTTTTTCAAGAAAGTAGAATATTGTACCTAGATCAAATTGATTCTAATATATTTCTAGAAGTCCAATCTGCATCAAACAAATGTCAAAATTAGTGAAACCATAGCAATGACAATAAAAATACAAAAGACATGATCACATACTTTATAATTATAAACTATAATTGTAATTACATAATTTATAATTCCAATTATTATAATTATATAATTTATATACAAAGTTATAATTATACTTTTATGTAATTAAACCAGTGTGCTGCTCAATCTCATAACTCTAAATAAGCCTCTTAAATCTGCTTTTTAATTTTAGTTTCCTCAGTCATAAAATTAGTACAAAATGTTTTCCTTTCTGTACCTCTTCACTGTATTTTATTAAAGAATTTTTATAGTCATAATAACATAATCCTAAAGAAATATTATTCAAATTTGTGCAATCTTTAAATTGTTTGGTGTGCCTCTTATCCTTCATATGCACAGACTTTTGCATTTGAATTTTTTTTTTCCTAAAAAGGAAGTGATATCTCCACCCAGGATCTTAGAGTTCTCCACTTGCATTTCTGTGTTCAAAATCCAAAGGGAACAAAATAGTGAAGAAAGGAAGGCTGGAGAAGGAAGGAAGGGAGGAAGAAAGGAAGACAAACAAATAAAAGTCTGATTTTATTGTGTTTAGGAAATGTAAGGAAAAATCACTAATGCTTTCAGCAGATGAATTATACCACTAAGAATTTATGTCACCACAGGAACAAAAATAATAAAAGAAATGATGATATGCGGATAATGTGTAAAAGGATGAAGTGTTTGTCAGGCTTCTTGCTAATATAAAAAAAGATAGCTAGAATGTTATTTATCATTTTACTATAGTGAATAAAAAACTAAATAATCATTAAAAAATGGACTATCATATCAGTTGAACTCAATTTTCATTCTAAATAAAAATCTGAAATAGGTTACAATGTCTGTGAGAAATATCTTCCACTGAGAGATGCAACTTTCAATGGCAGTAAACATAATAAAATCAAGTAAAACAGAAACAAAACCCCTCTTATTTCCAGATATTTTCCTAGAATCTCCCTCTCCCAAAAGCACACTTAGATGGTAAATCTGCATTATTTGCAAATAAGTCTATCTGAAAGGGCTTACCAATCATATCCAACTTGTCACTAGGAAACCTTTAAAAACAGTAATCCATTCTTTATGTTCACTGGTGTTTTGTAAAATATTGGGAGAAATATGATAAAATAAATTTTCTTTTATGCTGGTTCACCAGTTATTTTTACTAAGACAAGTATTCCAATCACTCATTTCTTTCATTTTTACCATTCCTCCAGTTCCACATGTATTTCAGCTATGAAGAGTGAGCTGAACAGGAATTACTCAGAGGTGACTGAGTTTATTCTACTGGGGTTTAGAATCCCTCAAAAGCTACAGATCCTCTTATTCTTCGTGTTCTTGATGATCTACATCGTTATTGGGGTGGGAAATATCAGCATGATGATTGTCACTAAGATGGACTCCAGACTTCAAACGCCTATGTATTTCTTCCTTCGAAACTTGTCCTATTTAGATCTCTGCTATTCCACAGTCATTGCTCCCAAAACTTTAGCCAATTTCTTGACTAATGAAAAGAAAATTTCATACAATGGCTGTGCAGCCCAATTTTTCTTCTTTGCCCTTTTTGTCACAACTGAAGGCTTTCTGCTGGCTGTCATGGCATTTGATCGATTCTCTGCCATTTGCTCCCCTCTCCTTTACCATGTGTACATGTCCCAGAAAGTCTGTGTTCAGTTGGTTACTGGATCCTACGTCTGTGGATGCATCAACTCCATAGTGCAGACAGGTCTCACTTTCAGTTTGCGTTTCTGTCAGGAAAACAGACTAGATCACTTTTTCTGTGATGTTCCAGCCCTGATCAAGATCTCATGTGTTGACACCTTTGTCAATGAGATTGTACTGTTTATTCTCTCTGCTCTCATCATCAGCAGCACCACAACTGTCATTCTGGTTTCCTATGCTTATATCCTCACCACTGTCCTGAAGATCCCCTCGACGCATGGCAGGACTAAGACCTTCTCCACCTGTGGCTCCCATATAGCAGTGGTGAGTTTATTCTATGGAACTGTCTTCTTCATGTATGCGCAACCTGGGGGCACCTCCTCACCAGAGCGAAGCAAAATTGTAGCTGTGATCTACACACTTATAATACCAATGCTAAACCCTGTAATATATAGTCTGAGAAACAGGGACGTGAAAGATGCTGTGAAAAGAATATTACATAAGAAATGGTGCCCTCAGTGATATTTATTAAACAATTATATAGTGGACAATTTTTTCCCCTAAGGATTCTAGTTATCCTTGTTCTTGTATAACTATTATGTTAAAGATATTTATATGTATGGCAACAAATATCACTTTTCTAAGTTTTCTAAAATAATGTTTCTAACAATATAAGTACACGCATTACTTATTTGCTTAGAATACATGAAAACATATATGTTCTCAATTTACAATGTGATAATATTTAATTTTACTTTGATTAAGAAGTAAATATTGAGATTTTACTATGTAATCATTAAAATAATATTATATCTGTATGTAATATTTTTACCTTTTTACAAAGTAAAGCCCATTGTTTTGCTGGCAAAACATACTGGCAGTGGTTACATAGAACATTTTCGAGTAAAAGGCCTATTGCTTCCTAAAGAGTTTTACTTTCTGGGAGTATCATCCTTGGAGTTACTACACTTATAAAAAGGGGACCCACAATATATCATTCAAAAGGCAATTCTTCACATAAAAAATTGTGGCAATAACATTCTAGTAAATTTTATTTTCTCATTATCCTCTTAATATAAAGTGTTGCATTATGTAATAATAAAAGCTGATACATTAAGAGCACATGCAATATATATATTCTTTGTATCACCGTTTTTCAAATGACAAAATTGAGGTACTGGGAGACCGAGTCACTTGGTGGAGTCAGAACTCAGCTACAGTACGGCTCCAGAAATCTTATTTTCGAAATGTATCCAAATTCATATCCAAAGCATGTGGAATATTCTGAAATGTGATCACACAGTCTAGAAACAACTATTCCTGAATGGAGGTGTAGACATGGGATCAGTCCTGGAATATACTAAATTTGACACTTGTCTTGTAATTATTCGTGTGAATATTATTCTGTTTCTATTTTCTTTTAACATTTTAATCAGTTTTTTGAATAGAGAAGTATAACATTTGTATGTCATTTTGTTGGTCTTTTAAAATTTATTGTATGTATTTACCTGCTCAAAAATCAGATAAATTTTACAATGGTAATGTTTTTGTATATTATATTTAAATTTTAGTTAATATAAATGTTATTTTTTTCCATAAGGTGTGAACCTAATTCAATTGTTTTTCATCAGTTAGTCAATTTTTCTGACATATTTTTTAAAAAATACAGAGAGGTAATGAAAATTTTTGCCTTACTTTCTCTGCTTTTCTTTTGTTTTCTTAAAGATATATAAACACTAAATAAGAATCTAGAAACTTAATTGAGCCAAATGTATTAGTGGGGGTAAATCACTTGTTTTAAAAATGTATTCAGGTGGTATATCACTGCTCTGATACTTATCCATGTCAGGCCAGGCCAGAAAGTCAGTTCTTTCATTTCTCTTCCTCTAAATGTGGATCGTATCAAACCCCATTATGTCAGGTTTTTTTGTTTTGTTTTGTTTTTTTTTCTTAACTAGGCTTAGTTATTAAATTTAGGCAGAAGGGAAAGTCCAGCGCTCACAAGACTTCACGGCTTCTCCAAATGCTCTAGTTCAATGTGACATCTGATTCCAGCTACTTAAAATAAAGGAATAGCTTGTTTTCAATTTTCGATTGGTCTTCAGGCAAATAAGTCTCAAATAATTCATGATAAAATGGACTGCCAGGCTAAAGCAAGATCAGTAAAATACTGGTCTTCTGGTTAAACATTAATCAATAGTTCTTCAATTAGGTTAAAATTTCTAACAAATAATAATTATTCATTTTTGGTTTGCGAAGTTTATTGTGACCATATGACACATTTTTATACATACTAGATCATATTCAAGTGAATATGTTTTGTTCCATCAATTTGCTTGTCTATTTTTATGTTGGTATCACATGCTTGTTGCATGACAGAATTTAATGCCCTATAGGGATGCATCTTTTCCAAAAACTTCTTAGCTAATATTACTCAATATTTCAGTGAACTTCAGAATTATTTTTCATTTAAAAAATAATTCCCATTTGTATTTTAGCAGAATTGCATTTAGCATATATATAATTGATTCATTTGCAGCACATTTATAAAAGCAAAGCTGATATTTCCTTTGATATCAGAGAGCCTACGTTTAATTTCCTGTGTTACTGCTGAATACAGATTTGAGAAGTACTTGAGTAGTTTTAAAGTTCAATGGAGACTATTAGATTACTTCATTCAATAGTTGTGAGGATCACATGAAATGCTATAAATTATGCTTTTAGCACTAGGAAGTACTCAAGTAATAGTAGCTTCTACTATTAGCGTTTTCATCATCATCTTTTTACATGTTTTAGCAATGTCATGGAGTATCTATATTTGACAGCTACACATATTTTAGTAAACATATTTCTATGCATTTAAAAAATTAAATTTTTGTTATTGGTACATAGTTGATTGTACATATCTGTGTGGTACAGCAATAAATATCAATAGCTGTGTGCAAAATGTAATGTTCAAAACAGGATAATTAGTGCATTCAACATTATATGATGTAATCAATTTTTGTGGCCCTTTACCAATTCCTCCCTTATCCCTCTCCTGCTCCCCCTTTCCCACCTCTGGCAATCTCAGTTCTGTTTTCTCCCCTTGAAAGGTCGACATACTATCATGATTGTTGTATCTTTCCTTTTTAAAAAATTTTTTAAAATTTATTTGTTTATTTATTTATTTTTTAAACTTCCACTTATATATGAGGACATGCAGTATTTCTCTATCTGTGCCTGGCTTATTACACTTAAAATAACTTTCTCTAAGTTCAAATTTTTTAAAATTTATTTGTTTATTTATTTATTTTTTAAACTTCCACTTATATATGAGGGCATGCAGTATTTCTCTATCTGTGCCTGGCTTATTACACTTAAAATAACTTTCTCTAAGTTCATCTATGTTGCTGCAAATGGCAGTGTTTCATTCTTTCCTATGGCAGAGTAGTATTCCACTGGGTAAATTATACCACATTTTCTTTATCCAGTCATCCAATGATGGACATTTAGGCTGGTTCCAACTCATGACTATTGCAAATAGAGCTGCAATAAACATAGGAGTACGGATATCCCTTAGACACGAAGATTTCCATTCCTTTGGGGAGATACCCAGCAGTGGAATTGCTGGATCATATGACAGTTTTATCTGTAGAACTGTTGAAACCATTTTCCATAATGGCTGCACCAATTTACAGTCCCACCAGCAGGTTTAGGAGGGCTCCCCTTTCTCTACATCCTCGCCAGCATTTATTGTTCTCTGTCTTTTTGATATTAGCTAGTACAACTGGGATGAGATGATATCTCAATGTGGTTTTGATTTGAATTTTCCTGATGTTGAGTGATGTGAGCATTTTTGCATGTGTCTGCTGGCCATTAATATATCTTCCTTTGAGAAATGCCTATTCAGCTTCTTTGTACATTTTTTTTTTTTTAAAGATGACCGGTAAGGGGATGTCAACCCTTGGCTTGGTGTTGTCAGCACCACACTCAGCCAGTGAGCAAACCGGCCATCCCTATATAGGATCCGAACTCATGGCCTTGGTGTTATCAGCACCGCACGCTACCGAGTGAGCCACGGGCCGGCCCCCTTTGTACATTTTTTAATTGGGTTCTTTTTTTTTTTTTTTACTATTAAGTTGTTTGAGTTCCTTGTATAGTCTGGATTTTAATCCTTTGTCAGATGCATAGTTATAAATATTTTCTCCCACTCTGTAGGTTGTCTTTTCGCTCTGTTAATTGTTTCTATTGCTGTGCAGAAGCTTTTTAGTTTGATATAATCCCATTTGTTTATTTTTCCTTTTATTGCCTGTGCTTTTGGGGTCATATTCATAAAGTCTTTGCCTAGTTTTAACTTCTGAAGTGTTTCCCCTGTTTTCTTTTAGGAGTTTTATAGTTTCAGGGTGTTTATTTAAGTGTTCAATCCATTTTGAGTTGATTTCGGTATATGGTGAGAGGTATGGGTCTAGTTTCATTCTTCTACACATGGATTTACAGTTTTCCATGCACCATTTGTGGAAGAGACAGTCTTTCTCCCAATGTATGTTCTTGGTACCTTCATTGAAAATCAGTTGGCTGTAGGTGTATGGGTTGATTTCTGGGTTCTTTACTCTGTTCCATTGATCTGAGTGTCTGTTTTTATTCCAGTAGTATGTTGTTTTGGTTACTATAGCTTTGTAGTATAATCTGAAGTCTGGTAGTATAGTGCCTCTGGCTTTATTTATTTATTTATCTCAGGATTGCTTTGGTTATTCAGGGTAGTTTGTTGTTCCATATGAAGTTAGGATTTTTTTTCTATTTCTGTGAAGAATGCCATTGGTATTTTGAGGGGAATTGCATTGAATCTGTAGATAGCTTTGGGTAGTATGGACATTTCCACAACATTAATTATTCCAATCCAAGAGCGTGGAATGTTTTTCTATCATTTTGTGGCCTCTTTAATTTATTTTGACAGTGCTTTGTATTTCTTGTTGTACAGATCTTTCACCTCCTTTCTTAACTTTATTCCTAGGTATTTTATTTTTTTGGTGACTATTGTAAGTGGGCTAGCTTTCTTGATTTCTTTTTCTGCTAGTTCATTGTAGTATAAAAATGCTACTGGATTTTAAGTGTTGATTTTGTATCAGAAATGTTTCTGAAATCATTTATCAACTCTAAGAGGTTTTTTTTTTTTTTTGTAGAGTCTTTAGACTTTTCTATGTACAGGATCATGTCCTCAGCAGAGACAATTTAAGACAATGAAATAATGAAATAATAGCAGAAATCTTCCCAGGTATACAGAGACAATATTGAGAGAGGGGTGTTCAGGTGCCCAACTATAACTGTATGTGGGTCTATTTGTTTAGGTGTAATTGTGTTTGCTTTATATATCTGGCTGCTCTGAAGTTGGGTGCATATATATTTATGATTGTTATGTCTTCTTGCTGGATAGATCCCTTTATCATTAGATAATGGCTTTCTTTGTCTCTTTGTATGCTTCTTAGTTTAAAGTCTATTTTATCTGATATAAGAATAGCTACTCCTGCTCATTTTTGGTTTAC